TCAAGGGCTGAGCCCCATAGCCCTCAGGTAGTACTATTATTCAAAAGTGGTTTGGAGTAAATGGGTCAAATGCCCTAAAAGCTATTGAAGAAAAACTGGTATTTTTAACCAAAAAAATCATTTAAAAATGTTAAAAGCTTTTAAGAACAATTTCAAGGGCTGAGCCCCATAGCCCTCATTTATTACTATTATTTAAAAGTGGTTTGGAGTAAATGGGTCAAATGCCCTAAAAGCTATTGAAGAAAAACTGGTATTTTTAACCAAATAAATCATTTAAAAATGTTAAAAGCTTTTAAGAACAATTTCAAGGGCTGAGCCCCATAGCCCTCAGGTAGTACTATTATTTAAAAGTGGTTTGGAGTAAATGGGTCAAATGCCCTAAAAGCTATTGAAGAAAAACTGGTATTTTTAACCAAATAAATCATTTAAAAATGTTAAAAGCTTTTAAGAACAATTTCAAGGGCTGAGCCCCATAGCCCTCATTTAGTACTATTATTTAAAAGTGGTTTGGAGTAAATGGGTCAAATGCCCTAAAAGCTATTGAAGAAAAACTGGTATTTTTAACCAAATAAATCATTTAAAAATGTTAAAAGCTTTTAAGAACAATTTCAAGGGCTGAGCCCCATAGCCCTCAGGTAGTACTATTATTTAAAAGTGGTTTGGAGTAAATGGGTCAAATGCCCTAAAAGCTATTGAGGAAAAACCCATACTTTTCCATCAAAAGTCTTTGAAAAAACCATGAAATACAATAAAATATTAAATGTGGTAGACTAAATGTAATCTTTAGGTGTATTTTCTATCTCTTTTCATTAAAATTGTTTATTTGTATCATATTATTGATTTACACCTAAACTACATTTTTTACACAGACAGTAATTCATAGACGGTCCCTAAGTTCGAACGATCTTAGTGCTGGAGGCGAATATCCAACGTCCAACGTGAAACCAACTTCACCGCGGTTCTAAACAGCTGCCCAGTGCTGATACGTGTGATGTGAAGGATCATGCTTCAGCTTCAGACAGGTTCAGGGCTCGGCACAGTGGTCTACGTGGTGCACAGCCAGCAGGAGGCGTACTCTGACAACTTCTTAGCTTTTATAAATAGAACGTGACTGGTCCCTTACATGTAGTATATATCGATCATGGATCTATTGTATGTATCTTATCTCCATATTGCACCACCAGGGGGCGCAGCGTGGCCGTTCCAGAATGTATATGCCAAGTGTTTTTTGGAGCCAAGGCAAGCTCTGTTTTCTCACATAATACACAAATATGTGAGAAAACAAGAGAGCATTTGGGGGCAAACAATGAACCAGTCTCGCTCTGAGTTTTAATATGAAATCAATGATTATGTTTTATTGTTGCATTTTACCTTAATTCTCCAAATGAATCTCTCGTTCGTTCCTGTTCGGTTTATTGTCATAATTTAAACTTTATCAAAGCGCGTCTCTCCAAGAATGACTTTAGAAAATACCTCAAACCATGTTTAATTCCATTCTTAACTTGGTAATAAGAAAAATGATTTATAATTCTTACACAATTCGTGTTTATTTACATTTATTTTTGCTTGATTACCTAATAGTAAAGGTTATATGTTAAACAGCGCTTTATAATAGGCCAAAATACTTTTATATCTACGAGTGACAATAGGGGGCAGCAAACGCCTAAAACATGTTCCTTCTGATCAATCCTCTCAGAGAGCTAAATAAACTTACATTTACTGTGTATGTTTGCAAATGGATGGATGGGTGTTTTTATACAAACCATTATGCCTTCAATAATGATGACAACATTTAAATTAACTGTATCCAAACAATGCAATATAGCCCAAGTATTACTTAAAATAGTACTTGAATCAGCATAAAAACCATTAGCATTTGCACAAGTTACTCTTCGGTGCTCCTGATCATGTGTTCATGAGTGTAATACATTATAGGAACTATAGGAATTTAACCAATATCCAATACAAATCACAATTTGACTCAAATAGTAAATCAAATACAGAAATTTGTTCAGTCAAAGTCGTGAATGAATGCCTGAAATGTGTATGAAATGTAGTATGCAGTATGTATCTTAATTCCTTCTTATATATGTATCTAAATATTACTATCTTAATTATTAATATTTGCCCAAATAACCGGCTCATCGCATTTAAAAGTTATTTTTATATCTATTTTTTTCTGAAAGCATTATTAGCATTTGTTCCATTGCCATATCTAAAACATGAGTTGTTTAAACAATGCACACATAATGATTTGCATTGATTGCATGAAGGTGTGTGTATGTATGCTTTGTGTGTGTGAAAGATTGTCACCTCTCTGCTCAGTGCTGTTGGACACAGTCTCTATATTGAATCAGCCACGTGTGTGCGTGTGTGTGTGTGTGTGTGTGAGAATGATTGTCACCTCTCTGCTCAGGGCTGTGAACTCCATATTGAATCTACAGCCACATGGTCTGTTGTTCTTCTCACGTCTGGCATCTTAATGCAGTGCTTAACACACAGATGTGAATTCCTTTTTAACAAGACTGCACCTACAGTGTGTGCCAATAAAAACCCCTCCTATAGCATGAACTTTATGAAACTCATGTATGGTTATGATTAATGAACGTGTATGATGTTGGCAGAATAAAGCCACCCGTATGTCTGACACCTGGAGTTAGAAAAGCACCTTTGATAGATGGTATGTAATAATTTGACAAGCGTTTATGCACAATAAGCATCACTGTGATGTCCATTATATTGCCCCTAATGTTTCCCAAACCATTACGCCTCTGGCTTTATGTCACCAAAAGCCTGCCACAACTGTAAGTCTGTGTGGTGATAAAGGAGCCTCACAGTGAGAGGAGACAGCTAAAAGGGCAGATTAATCTCACAACGTGAAGCTGAAACTACTTTATTAGGATCACATGTGAGGCAAGCAGGCGTGCTGTCAGGTGCACTATGGATTGAAATGTCTGTAGGAAGAGCGGCACACATCACAAGGTAAAACATGTGTACGAAAGTGTGCATGATGAGAAAAAGAAAGACTTTTTTGAAATCTGAGAGGCGGTAAGTAGCCCCGATTTGCTGCTCAACTAAACGTACCGCAAAGAAAACAACTTCAAAGCTGAAAACGCCTGTACAGTGACAGTGAGAAGGTTCTATCAAAGAAACCATGCCTTGTAAAAACGTACTGTTACTGTTACATTACCTGCCACTCAAATCTAATGCACAATCTTTAAACAGCACATTTTATTTTTACAAACCCATCTGTTTGACTGGAAACATTATAGGTACATGCATGGCAACATTTTTCTGACACGATCCACTGACCGTTAATATAAAACACGTAGACTACATTATTTGATTTACTGCTCAAAAACCTAAGTTCTTACATCGGGTTGGATCGCCTCTCCACAGACATGACCCATAATGAAGCTTTTCTCCAATGTGAATGATTAATACCATACTGTGGAACATCCCAGGCAAAAAACGACCAGAGCAAAGCATAGATCCTCCACCTGCAAAGTCGCCTAGTGCCCCTGCTTTGAAAGATGTTATGATGGTTATTAAAGCTAGGGTGCCTAAGTATCAAACCACAACAAGTTCCTAGTTCCTTGTTCTATCATTGGTTTTCCTCTGCAGAAAAGTGAAAAAGGGAAGACCACCCTCACTTAACCAATCAGACAAACAGTGGCGCACAAGGCTCTTATATTTCTGCAAACTATAACATGATTTCTATAATAAGATGAAGATGGTATGTTGTGGTCTGATTTGTTCACAATTCATCGACAAGAATTGTATTTGTTTGAACAGACAAAATGTATGGAAAAAAACAGATTCTTCAGAATTAAGTAGTATTAAAAAAAATCCTACATTTCATATATCAACTATGCAATAACTGTATACTCTGGTCTTGCATGGTTTGTTGAATAGTATCCAAAATGGCAATTGAATCTAAATGTTTTCAAACCGTGCTGTAACAGAGACCAAACTTAGATGTATCAAGCATATTGTATCTTGCATATTGTAGATTGGCCAGATAGACTTTTTAGGCTTTTTAGGCTTCACATAGACCAGTAAAATGAGTCAGCATCAGTATCTTTATTGACTGTTTTTTTATCCGTGTAACTTCATAAAGGCGTCGGGCTTACACTCAAACATCGTTGGAACACATCTCTGCAGTCATCATGCTCTACGTCCCATAAATACATATATATCAACGGCGATTTTCCTCTTACAAAAATAAACATCAGTCCATACGGAGCGAGTCACATGTTTGCAGTTTACCACACAACTGTTTTGAGTTTCCCTAATAACGAACACTGGTAGCAATACATAAAAGCAGATTATGGATTCAGCACAGTAATACATACACTTGTATTTATATTGACAGAAAGATCACTTACAACCACATACATTAACTTGTAGCAGTCCATGTTAAAAAGTCCTGTTCACTTTTGAGACCGACAAAGCCTTTGGAATTCCTTTTCTCTGTATCTTTATCGCTCACCTGTAGAGCTCTCTGGTCCGTGTCAGTCATGTTTTACACGGTGCGTTCAAAGTCTGTAAAAATATACTGTGCAACGAAACACGATGCAGGTGCTCCCTCCAAAGATCCACCACATGTTCTGCTCATCTTTTTTTCCATCCCATGCTGCCTTTTTAACAAGCCTTGTTTGTTGTTGTCAAATACACGGTGGTATTTTTATGAAGGACTGTGTTGAGAATTACGATGCGCTCTGCAAAAAGAAGTGCATCCAAAAACCCCAATGGGAACTCGTTTTTCTTTTTTTCTTCTTCTTCCGAGTTCCGTCTGGCCTTGCTTTACTGCAGGGCAACACAGGATTTGGTTTGTATTGATTGAAAGCAGACAATGAAGTTTCTGAATGATAGTATACTGTAGGAGAGAGGGTGGAGAGCTTGTTCTTTGTGGAGTTCCCAAGGGCTGAGGATCAATTTAATGGATGGATTCAAGGTTTGGTGGAAAATGATCACTCGTAAGATAGCGACAAAATTCCTCAGCTGCAGTCTTCGCAGTTGCAGGCCAGGATGTAGCGATAGGTTGCGGTGATGCGAGTTCCGCCGCCGCAGCGCAGTCTGACGGCCTTCAGTTTGGACGTGTGCGGACGGCAGCAGGAGCAGGTGCTTTTGAAGGGCTGTTTGAGCACCGAGCTGAAGGAGATGAGCGGGTCTGAGCGAGTCGTGTGGCTGCAGTGACCCTCGCAGCGAGCCAGCAACACCATCTGCACAAACAGAACATGGATTAGGTGTTGTATGGATTCTAATTGAGATCAAACGATGAGCGAGCGAGCGGTGTAGGAAGTGTGTGGAGTTGAGTTATTGTTGAGACGATGCTTGACCTTGCACCTGTGAGCGCAGAGATAGAGACAGCAGTTACTCCTACGTTCAGTAGTGGCAAACTGCCCAGGGACAAATATCTTTTCACCAAATGTTTCTATTAGGGCATACAAAAGCAAAACAAAAACCAGGAAAAAAAATGTAATTTGAGTGTTTAAAATCTAAAAAGTTAATATGAAAATAGTATAGAAAACTCCACCCTCTGCCTGGGCTCCCAGCTTTAGAAAAGTTAACCAGGACAGGAAACATTTACTGCCCTCCAAGGTCTTCTCAAAGAGAGACATATAAAACGGCTAAGTTGACAGCTGTAATGACCACCAAGACTTTATCAGTTATTACCCAGTCCATTCAAATGGATCCAATATGGAATCCTTCAAGGATGTAATTTCAGGACTGCATTTCCATATTGCCAAGAAATACTATTACACTCTTCATCTTCATAAACGGCTTTAAGGAATTAGAAATCTAACCAAGGCCATTGAGAACAGAGACCTGAACCCTCAGTAATACAAATGATGCAATTCATGCAAGGATGGGCAACGGAAACACATGTCAAACATAAAAAGTTGTGCCCTCGCCAAGATAATCCTGATATGTACTTAAACTTGCAGAAATGGCAATAAAACTATATGATTTGATGTGGCAAAACAAACATGTAAAATCAGTTAAAATTACATAGGTCTAAAAGGAGCAACCTGAAAACACAGACATGGTCTGAGGAATCCTAGCTGTTATTTTCTCACTATGCACAGCTCCTTTGTCTCTAAATGAAGGTGTCATGCACATAGTGCTGTGAGAGAGCAGTGTTGATTCTCTCCTTAAGCTTGTCCAATCAGCTGACACACAGCCTCTCTGTGATCAGTGTTGTGACCGCTGGCCTGCGTGCCTCCGCGGGTCACCACATTCCTGTCGCCTCCCTCAGCAGCCCCTGTGTCCTCTGTCAGCTGCTGCTATGGACCACTATGGACCACTCTGACCAAAGCCTGTCTGGGGCCAGGACACCCAAGCCAACAGCAGCCATGTCGCCACGTTAAGTCCATTTGTCTTTGTCCAGCTGAGGATCAAGCTGTCAGATACTGACAGTTCCTCGCCTGTGACAGGACTGTCCCTGCTATTAGACTGTCGGCAGCTCTCTTCTGATCTGCTTTCATTCATAACAAACTGAGCCTCAACTGGGGAAGTCCAATACCTTCACTGGTAATTAAGGGAGAAGGGCTTTTGATTGTTCAACCAAATACCAGAAAAACCAAGGTTTCTGTTTGATTTAAAGATAGTAATATTTGTTTTAAATAATCATGGGAACAATTAAACAATTGTTACTTTAGGATCCTTTATTCAAAAAGCATGTATATTAAAGCTGGGGGACCTAACTTTGAAGAACAAATAATGTAACTTTTCATAACCATATATTTTTGGCATCTGTTATATCTTTAGACAAGCTTTTTCAGATCGAAAAGTGAAAAGAGAGAATCAGTCCTTACTCAGGACATGTTCATGGTAAAGACGGCGTGTGGAGGTCAGATTTGTTCAGACGTTACTTAACAAGACTCTTGATGCTGGGGCAAACAACATGTATTCATAACATTTAATACAGGTTTTATGTGTTAAACATCAGGAACTCTTTAATTGGTCAAATTCCAAAAGTCTGATCTATTTGAATGATGTAATATTGAGTGAGCTGACTACTGTGCCATAGAAAGTGTCAGGCAGTTCCACTTCAGTAAGCCCTTTATGAGATGGATCTGTGGTTGGGCCACACACTGGATTTTCAGTCTGAGAATTATTTAAAAGACCAGAGAAAGTGATCATTCACGCAACAAGAATAACTGTACTAAAGCAGCAGAAATGGAAAACAATGATGTGCTGGACCTGGGCTTAGCTATCAGACTGTTTGCATAAAGTATTCAGTCGTTTGACAAATTAAAGGGAAGAAGCACGCCTCAAAACCATTAGGCCCCTCTCCACATTTCCTTTCTGTGGCCCTGTCTCTGGCTGAGGTGCGCCGCGTGCCTCAGCCAAAAGCTCGCCCCAGCTGAGACTGCAGCGTGGCCCCCGTCCAGCTGCACACACGTCCACAGACATTCAGGGACTGGACAGATGAGAGAGCAGAGAGGAGGGACCCTCTGGGGACGTAAGAGATAGTGGTCGTAAGAACACGACTCACTGTGGTGCACTTGAGCGCTGGAGGGAGGCTTTCTGGCAGAACCGCTGCTATGCATCTGTTTGGAACACGCTCAGGTTTTGGATAAATTGAACAAATTACCTCTTGTTCATTTGTCAGTTTGACTGTTACCTGAAAATAACGTGTCACTATGGAATTTAATTCACACCCAAGTGAAATACAAGTACCACTGACACAACAATGTTTCAACTCGAACCAGTAATAAGCATTCCAGACAAACCAAAACTATTAAAAAGTTCATTATTTACTTTTGTTTTATGAGCTTAGCCTATCGAACACTAAATCTCCCATGAACTTCAAAAACTCTCAACATCTCGCGGTTGGCCAAAGTGTTGCAAAAGGCTCTGCTCTCAGTGGAAATAGTGAAATCCTGCACAAACTCTGTTGCTGTCATAAATCAATGTTATTTGTTCCCATTTTGTGTGTGACGCGTCCTACCTTGGAGTTGCACTTGTAGATGGGGTGCGTGATGGTCTCGACAAAGTGATGCCGCATACACCTCTGCGGGTCCGAGTCCCCCAGGTGAGCGTCTTTGGCTTTGTTACTGCTGGCCGTCTGCACCAGGCCCAGGAGCGGACAGCACATAAGCACCAACAGGAGGCTAGAGGGGGGGCCCACACACACGGTCGCCTTCATCACTGCTCCACAACTAGTCCAATACGTTCCTTTTGTCAATCTTCTTTGCTGTTTCGTCAACCACCAAAGTTCAGGGTCTCACAAACCGTAATGTCTGGCTTTCTTTAAAAGGTTTAAGGTTGGCAAATTACGCAGATACAAGTCGTAAGCTTCATAAGACCGCTCCATCCCCCGCTGTCTGGATCCACCGCAGTCTGGAGGAGAAGACAAACAGATAAATGCAACTCAAGAAACAATATTGAGGTTGACGGCTGTATGTTTTGTCTATTAAAGTATTTGGGCATCTACTTTTCACAGAGGATTTTGCATGCGGATATGTCCACTTTCTTTCCCATGGATGTTTTTCCCAGTGTCTGTGATTGATCGCTTGATGGCGTGGGAGTACATAAAATAGAGAGTGAATTTGCGCGCAACAAAAATATAAAAGTTCAAGACAAATGTAACAAGACTCTTCTATAAACATTTTCTTAAGGTAGCAAGGTTTAAGGGTGTACACGAAGTTCCCCAGACCGTTGACCTGCCTTGAAGGTGTGTCGTAGACTTGTTCCCTTCTGTTCACCCAACACACGTCAACACTTAAGCCCCAGCACTTTTATTACAAGCAGAAACCTAAGCCATGAATAAACAGCCTGCAGCCAGCTCTCTTCCAATACCCAGGAATGACTTTTTCATTAAAACCAACCACTCACAACATGGCTTTGTCTCATGCCTGTAATTGTCTGCCAGCCTGAGACTACTTAATACTTATTATACTTAAGCAATCCTTGGTGAGATGCCAATTTGCACATAAAGCAATTATTAGCCAAGTAAGTTTGAAAGTGTCTTGAAAAATGTTTGAGGCACTGTAAGGGTAGTAGTATTATTTTTTATTGTCTGTGGTTGTTGTTAAGCACTACACTTTACCAGATATGGACAACCCTGAACAAATGCTTAAACCATTCTCCTGCTGTTCTTGAAAGCAAAAAGCTTCTCTATTCTTTACTTTTACTTATATAATATTGTTACCTTTTGGTAAAAAACTTGGGTTTTGTTTAATTGGCAATTAATGGGTCTCTATGTAATATGAACTCTTAGTGGTCTAATATAGTCATAGCAATTACAATCACACTTTGTTGCCATAATCTTCTGACCTGTGACACATGTGACTCCTAAACACAGATCGCAGATGCAAACCATCCACTGGAGTGGAAATGGTACAAACTGTTTGTAACTGCTTTCATTTACATTAAAAACCCAAAATGAGAGCCTCATTCTGCTCTCTGATTGGATATTCTGCTTGAAGATGACATATGTAAACATAAACAGCATCATGTATGTGTATTGTCAGGGGACATACAGTCCCTTTAGGCAAAAAAGGGGTGCGGAAAAAAGTATTACACTTATATTTACTTTGTTTTGGATATGATGAGATATCATTTGAGTTCAAGAAACAAAATAGCTGCATATAAATGGGAACAGTGAACAAACAAGAGCAAACTTAATAGACCAATAATAGAAAAAGGCTATGCTTGTTACACTGCAATATGGTGTGGATTAGAAGAGGCTTTTGTTCCTGTGAGAGTCAAAGAAGCAGAGACCACCATAATGATGAGGTTTTGTGCTGACAATAATAGGCCTGAAATTTAATTGGTGTTTCATTTTTTATTTTGGACGACAACATGGTTTTAATTAGGGGGTTAGCAATTTTATATAAAGGCAATTGGACTTGGGGTATGTGCTGTTTTATGTGGAGTTACAGCCAGTTTTCAGCTTGGAATTAGTGGCATAACTGCGGCCTGTGGTTGAGCCGAATGCTCCGCTTTGTTTGTCTTTTTTCTTTAAATCCATGTGGTCCAGGGTTTAAACAAACTATCCTCTATAGACTATTTAACAAGACCAATGAAGGAGGGAGCTCTGCAGTGACAATTTGATATGGGCTTCGGGGGCCGGGAAAAGCCAAAAATGTCAATGCCGTTAAAAACTGGTAAATACTTTTTCTTCCACGTCCATCAATGTGTTTTGTCGATCTACAGAACATAATATAATATCATCATCATCATCATGGAAAGTTCTTCAACACAGCGTTACTTTTCCAAAGACTGGAATCAAGGAGGGTGTCTAATGGATGGTTGTTAGAATTCAATTGACTCATTATTAAGAAGAAGATGTACTTGTAAAACACATTTCATACAAACACTGTATGCCCTTACCAACCAGTAAGACGGTGCACCAAACAGATTCAAACCAAACAGATCCTCTAGAATGACAACGGATGTAAAATAGTCCTGTGGATATTCTGGGAACTTTTGGAACATGGAGAAGGTCTGAGAATCTGAGGCTGCGCACGAGATCATGAGAGCATGATCTCCAAGTCGATTTGTGAATGAAGCCAATGGACCAATAATGGGTTGAGCTCAATTTTTTAGAAGTTTGATGTGAAATTCAGGAAAGGTGCAGCCCTGAAACATTAAAGAACCACTAAAAACAAGAACATATACTTCGGTTTGAAAGAACACACACACACGCACGCACAAACACATATGCGCACACACACATAAAGTAATTCATATAATTAATAGTATCCAAATTATTGCTTTTTATTTTTCTACATTCAAGCACTAATGAAAATAAGTAGAAATTAGAATACTGTTGGGAGAGACATGCTCTTTTTCCAACTTTAATAAATATTCCCAGCTCAACTCAAGCTCAAGATCTTTTACCTGTAAGGACGAGGTCAGTTTCTTGATGCTGATTAGTCATGAAATCACGTGTCATAAAGAAAAAAACAGAATGGGTATATCCTCCTGCTAAACTCAAACCAGCTTGAATAATGACAACAATGTCCAAACTCCAAAGAAAACATGAATTTAAGTTCCTACAACTAGAAGCTTAAATGGTCCCGATGTTGAAAAGCTGAAAAGCCTGAAAAGGTGATAGAACCACAAAGTCCGAATGCAAAGGTCTACTCTGAACTGATTGCCCTGTGAAGGTAGCTGATGAATAATTTGTATTTTGTTTTCCTTCTTAATATTAGCAGCACGTCGACATATTTCTAAATTAAAATTATAACCCCATCTTACCTCCTTCTAACCTCGCAGGTCCAATGTTTTTCTAACAAAAGCAAATCATTTCACCTTGCAGGGAGAAGTAGAAGTACCATTTGGCTTGTTAAAATAAATACCCACCCAATTCAACGTCTGCTTAAGCACAGGCTGCACTGTTCACATGAGCCTTGGAACCCACCAGTACTAAACCGCTTTGCCGTTTCCCCGACAAAACAAAAGCAACTGACTTCAAAGCCATTACCACATGCTGTTTCGGCGATCGTCTTCAATGAAAACTTTACCTATACCCCAAGGCATCAGGATTCCTGTTAAATCCATGGTGCACAACACACGGATAAGTTATTAGGACCAGACCCAAAGCAAGTCATAATTTGCCTGAGTAAAACTAACTGCATTTATAATATCCTCTTGTAAAATGTGGTGTGTCTGTTTGCTGGCCACCTCTCCGCGCTCAAGAGAACCTCATCTCCAATAACCTAACTCTGCCAAAACAGATAAAAATACAAAATAAATAATCCTGATACTGGGTTGGAAAATGGACAACTTTAGATCTGATGGCTGACTATGACTGACATGAGGAGAAAACAAAAGTTGGTGTGTTAGAATAATTTGACTGCTTCTTAATGGTCGGAAATGATACAATAGATTCTGGAAGTATTCGTTTTTCACCACAAAAGTCTGTGTATTTCTAACCATAATTACGATGATACAGTATTGCTTAACAATCCAAGAGTAAGATAAGTATGCCCTTTGGGCTGTACTGCAATATGGAGTTGTTAGATAATCTCGGAAATAACAGTAGACATTCTCGACTTGGCTATACAAATAAAAGAAACATGACAATGTATTAATGTTGAGCTAGTAACACGTTTTGGCACTTCAGAGAAGCAAAGCAAACAAAGATAATACCAATGGTCAAGGGTGATTTGGCCCGACGAAGACAAATAAACCGTAATTTATTCTGAATGTTGTCATTTTGAGCTGCCGCCAACCCCGCCATGTTTAATGCTGATGAGACTCTTGTATTAGCCCTGGCCAACTTCCTCTCACTATTGGCCTTTAACTACAGTGCAGGGATCGCACTCTATTGATTGGCATCTGCTCATTTAGCGCCTGACAAGACGTTTATGCTCTGCTACGACGCAGACAGCCTTGGAGACATGAGCAACCAGGCAAAGGGCCTTAAAGGTGACCACAGAACTCTATTACTGTCCCTAATCACTCTCCTCTAGTTTATAAAATGGTCTATTATCGTGACATCTCAAATCTCCGCTCGCACAATCATGTTATCTCCCAAACCAAACCTGTCATGTGCTGTCCATCGCTCATACTCACTGACCATTCTATACCCAACATTACCTCATTACCGGAAATTGACCCTTGTGATCAATACACTACTGGTTCTCTACAGCAATTTGGAGATCTGCATTGCAATCTGGAGAGACACATAAGGACAAAGGGCGTTGTTAGAGTTGTATTGTCATTGGTTGGTAAGTCGATTTGTGTCTGTCACGACACAAATCGGCACATAAAACTCGGGAGACTTTATATGCAAGAATGACATTTTTTGTACTGTGTGTTAAACTGTGTGTTGTACGTTAAATGTGGTTATGATTTGGACCCGGGAGGGCACTGCATGACGACTGCAGATGGGTAAATAAAATTGAGATTATGAGTTAAAACCCCTCAGGTTTAGATTCTGGCGGTGGTAGTTAAGGGTTGAAGAGCTGGTCTGGCTAACGAGGCGGTGATGGGGAGGAGTAGGGTTGGTGCACGAATGAAAGCTTGCAGTACAAATGATAGGATATGAAAGCTCGGTGCAGAGCAGAGCTGCTAGCTGTGTGGGATTGACTGATGCATGGCAGCTACAGGGAGAGAAATGACAGCAGAGATAGTTTCCAGTCTTCCAGTCCTCTGCTTTAGCTTTGTTATTGAAACTCCCCCTTAAATGGATTA